AGGTAACAAACCAAAGATGATTGGTGTAGAATATGACAGTGCTGTGATTTACCAATAAAGAGTTATGAACCTAAAATAAAACCGTATGTCATTTTGTCCGTATTTCCCCTACATTACCTAGCTAATCTGCAGATTAACTAGGGTGATCCGTTAAAGTTGTGAAAATTGTTCTATTTCTCAAATTACCTAGATAATGTGCAAGTATCTAGGTAATCCGCACATTACCTACTAGGCACTCAGTAAAGTGAAAATAAGATCTTTGCCACAAATAAATGTACCACAAATAGGTGTGCTTGTCGCAAAAACCAATTGCTATGAAATTCAGTCTCATCAATCTTTAGACTGCACTAATAAGTAAACACAATTGGATAATGTTACCTATGGTGAGTAAAATGGCGGCTCGTCTCTGATTCCAGCAAAGAGAAGAAAGGAAACAGTGGGGACGCACGTTCAAACCTAACCTAGCCTATTCTAATAATTTGGTTGGTAATAATTATTGAAATTTATTAGATTAGGTTAGGTTAGGTTAGAACGTGCGTCCCCACTGTTTCCTTTCTTCTGTTTGCTGAAATCAGAGACGAGCCGCCATTTTACTCACCATAGGTAACATTAACTGCACAATTATATCATGCGATCACCAGAAAAAGTATGATAACTTTATTATTTTTCGTCTCCGGTCCAAAAGTAGGGTATCGTTGAAGTCGTCTCGGTCCCCTCAGTTCAGATAGATACTCAAAGTCCCGAAATTCCATAGGTGGTTATCTATATAATAATTTCCCTAATTGTATTAATATTTTAAATCGTTTGATTTTTTGTATGTTTTTTAATTGGTTGATGATTGATTCTATCAACTAATTTGTCGATTGTTTGATTGTATTAACTTGATTCTTTAGATATCGAAAATTAAATAAAGAACATTATGTTAATTTAAGCGTACAGAAACGTTGCTGTTGTTTCAGCAAAGATCTTATTTTCACTTTACCGAGTGCCTAGTAGGTAATTTGCAGATTACCTAGATAATCTGCACATTACCTATGTAATTTGAGAAATAGAACAATTTTAGCAACTTTAACGGATCACCCTAATTAATCTGCAGATTAGCTAGGTAATGTACACATTAACGACTTCCGAGCTTTAGCGGTAACATATATATAATCGAGACGGGTTGATAATAATAATGATAATCAGCGCAAAGCCCAAACAGTTAGGAGTTGAAAGTTGGTACACAGTTAGGGCACGTCACGAGAACGCACACTAACTTGTAAGAAGGGATTTTTCGAAATTCCACCCGGGGGGAGAAGGACAGGATTATGGCTTCGACAATGGAAATGTTAAGTAACAATGGAAGTATCAACAACGGAAGTGTTAAGAGAAAGCGACATGCAAGATTTACAGATGCGGATGCAGTTTTTTCGTTTTCGCGGGAAATCGAACATTTTTTAACCCATCTAAAAATTCTCCAATCAGTCTGGAAACAGGGGGACCTAATTCTTGCGTTGTTTGAAAACGGGTAAGATTGACTATAACATAATAATCTTAATCTTCCCTATCATTACTTTTTGCTGGAGAAATGCCGGGCCTATCTGCTAGTATATGTATAAGTTTAGTGACTATTGTATAGCGTGATATACAAACAGGATATGACTCTTGCATATTTCTTATTGGCAATGTACGCATCCTACGTGACATAGCAATTATAATGCGAACTTTATTGAGTAATATTGAAAGTTTGCAGTTTGCTAATTGCATCCTCGTTAATCTGAAAGTGCCTGCTGTCTATGTAAAGATTACCAATAAAAATTAATAGATTATCGATTTTTCATACATCCGGTATCATTATGTTTATGCTATCAGTCATCTTTGAAGATCACTGTGCACACTCATTACTCATTATTGGCCATTGATAAGAACGTCTCAAGTGCTGTTTGCATCTCTTTCCTCATACAATTGTGAATCTGGCTGTAATTCGAAGCTTTTTTTTAGCCACATTATATTTAAACTAGTAGCCCGGGACGCCCCCTAGTGGGCGTTCTTTACAAATTTCCATGAAGCACGGTTCCTTTGACTTTTTTGTTCCTATCAATATGCTGTACAGCTCTGTTAAAGTCCCAATGGTAAGATTTACCCTCCGAATGAAGAGGTGGCGACCCCCCCAAACTGTAGCCCCTGTGCGAACAATAAAGTCAAAGGAACCATACCCCTACTCGCGATCCTTCGCGAGATATAAGCCCCTGAAATAATAAATTCCTATTACAAATATACTGAATTATTTATATTGTTATATTGACCAAATAATAATTTATGGGCCAAATGAATAATAATAATTCATATTGTTAATTTAAATAAGAATTAAAATTGTTAATTTGAATGTTTGAAATATGACACACGATAGGGGCGCCTCTAGTGTCCGTTATCAAACGGTTACGGGACAGACGGACACTTTGAATGGGTTATATATATAGATTTCTTAATTTTGTACCATTTTATGAGCCGAGATATGTGCTTTGATATCATATTTACAATTGTTTAAAATTGGCAATATGTGGTAAAAATGATGTGTTCTACTTTTTATTAATTAATTTGAATGTAAGCTGAATGCATCTTATACTGTAAAGAATATTTTCACCCAAAAAGCTATGAGAAAAACGTGATGCATCCAGTACAATGGTTTGTCGTATAAGGCAAAAAAAAAATCATTAAAATTGACCCTATATATCAGCGGTGCGAGAGAAATTTCAAAAAATATATATATATATGAACGAGGCGACCGTGTTCTCTACAAACCGTGGTACCCAGCAACATGGCACCCTCACTTCTTCCTTCTCTACCGTCTCACTTCTACACTCTCTACTCTACCATCTCTCAGCACAGAGTGTAGAAGTGACTACATTAACTGCATGTACTGACATAGAGTAGAGAGTGTAGAAGTGACTACATTAACTGCATGTACTGACGACCATCTCTCAGCACACAGTGCTGAGAGATGGTCGTCAGTACATGCAGTTAATGTAGTCACATTGTTAAGTGCAGTACAGAAACTAGTTGAGACCTGTTCGCATACCTTGAATACAGCACTTTTGCACATCAAAACAAAAGCCAGAAATCGCTTAAATGCATCTGATGACTTACGTGTGGCTCTTTCAAAAAAGAGCCTCATTTTAATAGAATTATTATGAACAAACAACAACCTAGCCATTAAAATTTAAATATTGCTTTTTATGTTATATAGTAATATATATTGTAAACAAACACGGCATTTGTTTATGCAATAAATGTTTTTTCTTAAATAAAAAATATACACACATTTTTTAAGGGGTGCAAGAGCTTATTTTCAGATTCAAGTGGGTGCTGACCACTAAAATGGTTAAGAACCACTGCTATAGATATAATATATATTCCAGCCAGTTAATTTTGGTGTTATATATAATGCAAATTTAATTTGTAAATTAAACTAGACAAAAGGAAATTACAACACTTGGAATAAAACAATAATGTTTAATATTAATTATATAGTTCAAATGTCAATGAAATATTTAAGCAATATTTACATGTTAATTTTCATAAAAATACGAAAATTTGCAGTATAATTAAGTTTCTGGATGTAAATGTCTATGTATCATTTCTTCTTTGTTAATCAAGTGTGTAGTTTTACTAACTAATTGCATCAGCGTATTGATGTTATGGAACCAATCATTCAAAACTTCATTTGGATCCTTCTGCTGAGAGAAGCAGATAATTCCTGCCAAACGATCTACTTTGGCCCACACGGTTTTATTGACTACCAGATTAGACAAAACTTCTTCTGTGTCCTAAAAATTAAAATAATAAACTATTATTCCATTTTATAATTTTTATTTGATTTCAGATACATATTGAGAAACTCTTACATATTTCTTAATTATAAAGTTTAAGATGTATCTGTTATGCATTTAAATTTTAAAAAATTTCAGAGAAATTAGAGAAATTATGCTATTCAATGAAATCATTTCTTACTAAATCTAAAATAATAATAATAACTCATCCACTATCATTTTTCTACAACAAATAATAATCACAAATTTGTTAAAATAAGTTACAACAGCTAACATAATGTAAAATGTAATTAAATAAATTTTTAATTCTTGAAAATTAAAGATGTTTTGTTATTAATATCACAGTAACAGTTGTAATTGTTAAAAAACAAATTAAGTTATATATCATTTTTAAGAATAACACTCATTAGTAATCAATATTTTGAATTAATTTGATAATTAATTTAAAATATTCAAGCTTATATTGTGCATAAAGCTTATAAATTAATATCACTATCAGACATTTCTGAGAAAAAATGAATACGAACTTTAAGNAAAGAGCCACACGTAAGTCATCAGATGCATTTAAGCGATTTCTGGCTTTTGTTTTGATGTGCAAAAGTGCTGTATTCAAGGTATGCGAACAGGTCTCAACTAGTTTCTGTACTGCACTTAACAATGTGACTACATTAACTGCATGTACTGACGACCATCTCTCAGCACTGTGTGCTGAGAGATGGTCGTCAGTACATGCAGTTAATGTAGTCACATTGTTAAGTGCAGTACAGAAACTAGTTGAGACCTGTTCGCATACCTTGAATACAGCACTTTTGCACATCAAAACAAAAGCCAGAAATCGCTTAAATGCATCTGATGACTTACGTGTGGCTCTTTCAAAAAAGAGCCTCATTTTAATAGAATTATTATGAACAAACAACAACCTAGCCATTAAAATTTAAATATTGCTTTTTATGTTATATAGTAATATATATTGTAAACAAACACGGCATTTGTTTATGCAATAAATGTTTTTTCTTAAATAAAAAATATACACACATTTTTTAAGGGGTGCAAGAGCTTATTTTCAGATTCAAGTGGGTGCTGACCACTAAAATGGTTAAGAACCACTGCTATAGATATAATATATATTCCAGCCAGTTAATTTTGGTGTTATATATAATGCAAATTTAATTTGTAAATTAAACTAGACAAAAGGAAATTACAACACTTGGAATAAAACAATAATGTTTAATATTAATTATATAGTTCAAATGTCAATGAAATATTTAAGCAATATTTACATGTTAATTTTCATAAAAATACGAAAATTTGCAGTATAATTAAGTTTCTGGATGTAAATGTCTATGTATCATTTCTTCTTTGTTAATCAAGTGTGTAGTTTTACTAACTAATTGCATCAGCGTATTGATGTTATGGAACCAATCATTCAAAACTTCATTTGGATCCTTCTGCTGAGAGAAGCAGATAATTCCTGCCAAACGATCTACTTTGGCCCACACGGTTTTATTGACTACCAGATTAGACAAAACTTCTTCTGTGTCCTAAAAATTAAAATAATAAACTATTATTCCATTTTATAATTTTTATTTGATTTCAGATACATATTGAGAAACTCTTACATATTTCTTAATTATAAAGTTTAAGATGTATCTGTTATGCATTTAAATTTTAAAAAATTTCAGAGAAATTAGAGAAATTATGCTATTCAATGAAATCATTTCTTACTAAATCTAAAATAATAATAATAACTCATCCACTATCATTTTTCTACAACAAATAATAATCACAAATTTGTTAAAATAAGTTACAACAGCTAACATAATGTAAAATGTAATTAAATAAATTTTTAATTCTTGAAAATTAAAGATGTTTTGTTATTAATATCACAGTAACAGTTGTAATTGTTAAAAAACAAATTAAGTTATATATCATTTTTAAGAATAACACTCATTAGTAATCAATATTTTGAATTAATTTGATAATTAATTTAAAATATTCAAGCTTATATTGTGCATAAAGCTTATAAATTAATATCACTATCAGACATTTCTGAGAAAAAATGAATACGAACTTTAAGGCTTTCAATGTTGTTACTACAAATTTATAATGTTTATATAACTGTTGATCGGGTTATCAATTGATATAACAGATGTGAATGCCAATTTTAGGATATTTTTGTCGTATAAAATTTCCTAAAACTGGCCTGTATCTCAGAAATTGTATTTTAAAAAAATACACATACCACCTTCAGATCCAAAAAAACAAGCATAACCATCAATTTGGCCTAAATCTCAGAAGAGTTTGAAACTTGACATACAAGTAAGGCATTACTTTTCAATTGTTTCGTTGAATAAAGAATACAAAAATTTAATACAGTGGTGCCTCGTACAACGTATTTAATCTGTTCCAGGTGCACGTCCGTTAAGTGAAACGTCCATTATACGAAACGCATTTTCCCATAGAAATACATGTTAAAACATATAATTCGATCCGCAGCATAAAATAACCGTACTGTACCATAAAAAATGAAAATGGAGCAGACACCAATTATGCCGGGTAGTCAGATGTTGTGAGGAGGAGGTGGAAGAACACTTTCTTTACACATTCATACAGATACAGACTTTTTACACATTGCAGCGGGTCTTTTTTATTGTTTTTTAATCGGAGTCAGATTCAGGAGTGGCTACCGGAACTTGCAGGGTCAACTTCTCTTGTTCCATCCTTTGTTTTTTGCCCGCTGGCTTCTTGAAAAACATGACCAAGGTGGTCTGTTTCTCTTTCTTCTTTAACATCTGTTGGAAATGACGGACAAAGGTGTCATCGTAGAGATCATTGATCCTGTTGGCCTCAGCTCTGTTTGGATAATGAGTGTTGGTAAACTCCTGAACCTCTCCCCATTCGACAAGAAAGTTTTTGTCAACTTTCACTCCTGATGATTTCTTGCTTTGTTTCAATTGAAATCACCTTTCTGTTTTTTAGAAGCCATGATGCATTATAAATGACTTAACTTGCCAGATTATATGATACGAATAATTCTTTATTAATTAAGATCACTAAACACTTGTACGAGCTACTCTCACTCCATTTGTTTTTTACAACCTCTTTTCGTCCGGCCACCTCTGCATCTACACAATTACATTTCGTTTATTTGAATCGTCAACATATATTACATTACATTTAATGTTTATTTAAATCATCAACATATATTACATTACATTTCTACTTCAGATATACTAATAATACATTCTAATAATACTAATATATCCTAAAAATAGCAGATTGTCATTGGCAACGGCAAAAGAGTGGAAACATCATTCGCACTTGTTCGAAAAAAGTCCATTGTTCGTCTCACGTAACTGCCGAATGGAAAGTCCGTTGTTCGCAGCAAGTCCGTTGCTCGAGTCACGTAACGGTCAAACAGAAAGTCCGTTATTCGCAGCGTCCGTTATTCGAGGCGTACGTTATACGAGGCACCACTGTATATGTTAAACCAAAAACAACAAAAAGTATTAAATATTGGTGTAAATCTTATTACGCAGAAAATTATTAATTTAATATAGCATGAGATTGCCTCCTTCATGCATATACAAGCTATAATAGGAATTGTTCATGCTTGGTGATTACTCTGGACAGAAATGATAAACATTACATTCATTCTTGAAGCTGCTAGAGTTGCATCTCATCAGCCTTGGTAGAGGGTGGAGATGAAACTTGTATTCCGTTACATGTTTTCTATTGGGTTTAGGTCCAGATCATGGAACAAATATCTTCACTTTCCGAAAAATCATTGAATGCACAGTGCACAGTTGTTATCATCCATGAAAATGAAACTGGCATCAACAGCACCTCAAAAAAGCCTCATCTCTATCTTCTTAAATATGTGGAGCTCAATGTAGCCAATAAGAATGATACACCAGATCACGATACCACCCTTGCAAACTGGTTTTTTCCACAATGTTTAGGAGACTATATTGTATTTTCTGTTTTCTCCAGATTTTAATCCAATAAGAATCATTCGATAGACTGTATCTGGACTTATCAGTGAACAGATCATTGCCCCATTTATTCAAAGTTCAATGCTGATGTTCTTGACACCATCTACAACAGGTTCTTCAGTGCACAGGGATAAATGGAATGCAATGTACTGGGTGTCTGGCAAAAAAACAGGCTAGCCACTTGAAGCTTTCTGAAGACACTGTCATAAAATTCTAACTACCAGTAAGAATGTTCAGCAGGTAGCACTCTGCTGAACTCTACAGAGAGCTGCCTACCAGATATTCTTCTGTTAAAACAACCTGTAACCATGAAATAATGATCGTGTTGTGAGGGGGTAACTATTGGACATCAGTTTCTAGTTGACATCCAACATCATCTGTTTTTTGAAATCTGGCAAAAGCCTAGTTATCATTAGCTCTACAACACATTCAGAGTATTTGACACATCTGTTTACACTGATCCACTTCTTGTCTTCCAATAATTCTTTCTTTCATAAAATCATCTACATAGCATCTTCGTTGTATTATCACTCTCAGTATTGTAAAATAAAACAGTAAAAACAGACCTCAATTGTTAAACTGTAACAGAAACAGTACCATGCTACTGCTGTGTTTATGAAGCCTAAATATTTTGCATTAACTTGTGCTTTTTAATAAAACATTAAATACATCCTGAGTATTTTTATTGCTTGAAAATATTTACCTATATTTTCATTGTTTATTCTTTCCGTTCTATCTACAGACTGGACATTTATGCTTATTTTTTGGACAGGAATGTACCTTAAATGCAATAATTCAACAAGCAGATATTGAAAAAGTTCTTAAAAATTTAAATTCCTCATTTGATGATTGCCTTTTTTCTACGTTTTTTCATTCTACAATCTGAATTTAAGAAAAAGATCAATTGTCCAATATCACAATAACAACTTTATCTGTGCAAAGAATAGCCTAACTGTACAGTACATAAATAAATAAATTATATGAAATTTATTGTTCAAATTTTTCTGCTTTAATTATCTAATTATTGTAAAAATACAGTAATGCAACATATACAGCAAGTTTTGTATGTTATAATAACATAATTTCAAAGATAACAGAACCAAACTTTTTGAAATACCAGTAATAACTTCTTTCATTTAGTTTTGAAAAAGTTTGTTTTTGGTGTACTTAAAAATAAATTTCATAATATAACAAATATGAACATCTATGTAATAATTATTCAAATTTAAATATAGAGATTTTATTGTTTTAATTGATTTTTAATTGTTTGACATACTTCTTTAAATTTTTTATGAATCAAATTTTTTTAAATGATGTAAATCAGGGGTGTCAAACTGGCAGCCTGTGGGCTGAATGCAGTCCTCGATGTGATTTTTTGTGGCCCATGGCCACTATGCTCTTAAATTAAATAAAAAGCTTACAGATCAAATTTAACAGATAAGCATTTATCTGCCATAATGAAAATTGTTCTCAGTCTTTGAATCCAGATATTGGAAAACTAGGAGGAGGAAGATAGTGCTGGCAAGTTTCCAGTGAAAGCAATTAATTTTAGTTTTATAAATATGCACATTAAATAAAATAAATGTTTAAATAAAAGCAATACTATAACAATTATATATTGTTGAGTTGAACTCATTGAACTACATAATGTGTTTTAATTGTCCTATCTATATTCCTGCATTCTCACTCCAAATTATAATTTTAAGAAAATTTGTAAATGTGATGTGGTCCACGTGAATCTTACCAGTTGCATTAACAGCCCATTGTTTAAATGAGTTTGACACACCTGATGTAAATCATAACTTTATAATTCAATAAAAAATTTACACTTGCATCTCAACTTAGAAATTTTTTTGATATATAAATTTATAGATAACCAATGAGAACAAAACAAATTTATTTAAATACTTTGGGTTTTAAACAGTTTGTTTTTGTATTTTCTTGAAAATTTATTCCACATGATACATGTCCTTCTAAAAAAACCTGATTCATGTATTAAAACATGAAATTCAAATAATCAAGCATTCCCACTAGATTTCAATTAGCTATATTATAGCCTAATTATAATGCTGATTAAAATACATTGATATTGCTTGATTACTGCTATGTATCAGACAGATTTTAAATGTAATTATCAGTGAATTTAGAAAGTAAGTATCATCTGCAAATACTTCCACTACAGCAGTGGTATAGTGAAATGCATGCCAAGTTCTCTCACTTATTGGCAAGTCACAGATGCAATTACAAAAACATTAGTGTTTATGTATTTTTCTGTACGTCTAACAGACAAAACAATCAAGCAGACCTGCAACTTTGAAATATAATGTAATCCATTTTTCAAATGCAAGAAATGTAAAACCTGCAGACCATCAAATTTATGAGCTTAATAGTCAAAATACAATAAATGATGGATATTTGTAATAAGAATGGAGTCAGACAATTCTTGGCCACATATTTCTACTCAAACTAAGCCCCCATCCCTCATTATATCATTTGACTGGAAACAAATGGAACACATTCCTATAGCCCAGACTTACACCAAGAAATTTGTCTATTCTTGCATTTGAAGAAGTTCCTTGCTAGATGGTCTTTCCTCAATGATGACATCATCAAAAAAGCAGTACAGGAATGGCTATCTTCATAGGCTTCCTTGTTCTATGAGAAGGGTATTCAGAAGCTGATATCCAATTATGACAAATACCTCAATAATGGTGGAAACAATGTAGAAATGTAGTTTAGGATATGACAAATCTGATAGCAGACAATTTAATGTCAACAAACCTTATTTCTATTTAATTAATAACCATTACTTTTCAAATCTGCTGATATAATTCAAATATGTAATATCTTTTAAATTACCTTATTCAGATTTATTTAATTAATATTACCTTTTCGTTCAGATCCAATAATTGAGACATTCTTTTCAGAGTAGTGCGAGTGTAATATTTAGCCATAATTCTTATATTCTGTTAAAATAAATATTTATCAACGTTATATATTTTTACTCTAGAATCTTATTCCAATAATAATAAAAACTAATGTATAATTTAAATATATAATAGTTGTATAATATATATTAAATGATTACTATATTAACATAAAATATAAAATACAATTAAAATCATACAAAGATCAATAATGATTTGCTATTTGTTAGGAAGTACATCTGCATCTTTAAAATTAAGGCATTTATGAATATGAATGCTCCATTTTTTATAATTTTGGCTTGATATTGTTAATGAGTACATAATGAAAATAACTAACATCTTAATTTATGCAAGGTTATGTTTCAGGATGTCTCTCACAATTTAAATTCAAATGAAAATAATTCTCACATTGTAAGTTATCCCTGTTAGAAGAAAGTAAAAAAACATTTATACACACCCAACAATGATGGTGAATCAATCATTTTGTTCACTTCCATTATGGCATCCACATCTTAACTGAGGCAATAGCTATTTGTAAGACTATGGTATTTTTGGCAATGCTCAACTATTAGTGACATGCACATGTGAAAAAACAAATGTACATTGTGGGTAGTGACAGTCAAGACAGATATCCAAAGACATTCTGTATATTCTATATTTTTGCATTTTATTACATTTATTTACATTGGTGAGAATAATTAAAATTTTGTAATTATTAAACAAAATTTTGTAATTATTATTTATTCAAGTGATTATAATATATTGTTTCAGCTTATTAAATTATAGGCTCAAAACATATTTGTTATGGTATTTATAAAATAATATATTCAAATGATATATATAAAAGAACTTTTTAGATTACTNATTTTTTGAACAGTTCAGTTTACAAACAAAATTTTGAACTCATTTTTGCCCAGGTTGTCAAATGAGCCACTTGGCAGAGCCAGCCACAGATGGTCAACTTCCTATACTTTCTATGTTAAAGAAAGTCAATGGATTGACCAATCAGTGACAGGACTACTTATTCAGGAGTTAGTGGTGTTGAGATTGCCTTGCGTCAAAATATAAATCATTGATGACGTTGCTATTTAAATTACACTTCAATGTGCTTGTGGATAAAGTATTTGTTGTCTGTCTTGATTAATTTCATTAAACTGTATTTCATCCAGGTAGCTTTGAGTCTCTGTTTATAGCACTTTGTAAAGTGTTAGTTTAAGTTTTGGTTGGCAGTGATGGACCATTTTGTTTTTAACATATGTGTAGAATAGATATAGATAATATAATATGTTATATTGCTTTTTTGTACCTTTTTTGGCTGTGTTTCATGCATTTTTATGCATGAAATACAGCTAAAAAGGTAAAATAAAAAGGTTTTGTTTTGAGGAATCAAAAAACGGATTAGTCCATTTTATATTATTTCTTATAGGAAAATTTGTTTTGATTTTAGAACAAATCAGTTTTAGGAACTTTTAGAAACTAATTAAGTTAGAAACCTGAGGTTTGGCTGTATATGATAAGTATATTTGGTAAAAGTTCTAATAGAGATCAATATTATTTTATCTAATTATGATAATATTGAATAACAATTTGTTTGAACATGTATGAGAATAACAACAACTCAAAGCCCAAATAGTATATAATAAATTACCAAACGATCGCCTAAATATTGGGCTATAATTAAATGATTAGAATAAAGTAATTTGACATTAGAGGTAGGCGTTAGGCGCCATCTCTTAAGTAAATTAATAATTAAAATTAAATAAATAAATTATTAGACAAATTTTAGAACCTTCTGGAATAAAAGAACTGGCCCGGGACAGGGCTTGAAATGTCAAATTACTTTATTCTAATCATTTAATTATAGCCCAATATTTAGGCGATCGTTTGGTAATTTATTATATACTATTTGGGCTTTGAGTTGTTGTTATTCTCATACATGTTCAAACAAATTGTTATTCAATATTATCATAATTAGATAAAATAATATTGATCTCTATTAGAACTTTTACCAAATATACTTATCATATACAGCCAAACCTCAGGTTTCTAACTTAATTAGTTTCTAAAAGTTCCTAAAACTGATTTGTTCTAAAATCAAAACAAATTTTCCTATAAGAAATAATATAAAATGGACTAATCCGTTTTTTGATTCCTCAAAACAAAACCTTTTTATTTTACCTTTTTAGCTGTATTTCATGCATAAAAATGCATGAAACACAGCCAAAAAAGGTACAAAAAAGCAATATAACATATTATATTATCTATATCTATTCTACACATATGTTAAAAACAAAATGGTCCATCACTGCCAACCAAAACTTAAACTAACACTTTACAAAGTGCTATAAACAGAGACTCAAAGCTACCTGGATGAAATACAGTTTAATGAAATTAATCAAGACAGACAACAAATACTTTATCCACAAGCACATTGAAGTGTAATTTAAATAGCAACGTCATCAATGATTTATATTTTGACGCAAGGCAATCTCAACACCACTAACTCCTGAATAAGTAGTCCTGTCACTGATTGGTCAATCCATTGACTTTCTTTAACATAGAAAGTATAGGAAGTTGACCATCTGTGGCTGGCTCTGCCAAGTGGCTCATTTGACAACCTGGGCAAAAATGAGTTCAAAATTTTGTTTGTAAACTGAACTGTTCAAAAAATGAGGTGTTTGAAACCCAATGTTTGACTGTATTAAAATATACAAACATAAATTAAGATTTATTTTCTTATTATTACATTATATTATTGCTACCTTTATATTTTAGTTATAGAATTCTGAGACACCAAGTAAGATGATAAAATCTTAAACTAAAGTAAACTAATTTCGATTTATTGCATTTATTTAAACAAAACTAAAATTTAAAACTTTGAATTTAAAACATCAAAAATATCTACCTGAGTAGAAGGATCATCAAAGAATTTAGTGCTGATTTTCTTACTTATTATTTGAGTGCGTATGTAATCTTTCTTTGCCAAACACAGACGCATTTGTTCTAAAATAAGTTCTACTTTTTCCTTGCGTTCCATTGATCCAAAAGTTTCAACCTAATATTTGAATATCAATTTCATTCTTATGCTTTTATTATAAAAATCATTAAAGCACATTCCAATTTATAAAGTAATAAAAATATTTTCAAATACTCTTTAAAAATTTCTTTTCATATAACCTACTTGTAATTCTTGTAAAATAGCAGCAGCTTCTTCAGTTTTATTTTCATCTTCCTTTATTTTTGCTAATTTGTGTGTTAAACGTGCTCTTTCTACTTCAACATATATCTAAGTATATTTTGTAAACATATAAAAAATTTAAGTATCATTTATCTTAATTATATTATGATCATATAATTTATATAAAATTACAAACTTTTCCTGCTGTAACTGTTCTTAAAGTATCAATGTATTCCAATTGGGTTTCTCTATCAGGCATATCGTCCACATATTTGCAACATTCTTGAATCATTTTAGTAATAGCTTGTTTAATTTGGCTTCGACGCTTAGTCATTATGACAATATATTCATTCAGAGTTTTCCAATTTTTTGCTTTGTAACACAACTGAACTATAGCCACCAATACTCGACTCGTTGAATGAGTATCAGCTCCCTGAAAATTTATAATTAAAAGTTATTATTGATTAACTTTATTATTTAATAATTCAGATGATCACATTTATAAGTAATAAGAATGCCATAAACATATCAAATATGGTCATTCTTAATACATAAATCACTAAATACATAAAAGTATAATCATCAACAATGAATATTTAAATCAAGAACCATTTCCAGCTTGTCAATAGTTAAAAATCTGAATAAATAGGTGTCCTTTGCTAATTAAATATTTACCAACAAATTAAAATAAGATTAAAGTATCACATATCACATGCATAACTTTATTCGTTCATTGCCCTAAAGATTTATATTTGGAAAATTTGGGAAAATAAATTTATGTATAGTGTAAACCCAGTGTTTCATATTATGCTAGCATTCAACCAACTGCACCATCTGGTAATTACATTAATAAGTCAAAATACTCAAACATACTTAATTCACTATTTAATTGAATTAATTAAGATTAATTTTTAATCTATCTGTACAAAATTATCTGGTTCAACTTTTCATTTTAAAAAGTTCTATTTTCAGTTTAATAAATTTGTTCCTCTAGCTGACTTCTCACTGCCTGTGATGAAACAATTGTTAATAAATCTAAAGCTTTTCTGATACAATATAAAAAATGTAGTTTATCATTATCACTTAACTTTTGTAGAAATAGACAGACTTATTAGTGATAAGAATTACTTTTATGCCTTTGGTGTTCAAAAAATGAAAGAATTTTAATTTCAACAACTGCCTTATAGTGTCATATGAAAATAAAATTAATAAGTATAAATTAGACTACCACTTCCATAAATTCAGAACACTAAATACACTAGAATTAAAGATAATTTGTTAAATGATTCAGCAATTAAAAAGCAGCAGAGTAACTGAAACCTAAAATATTAATTTTTATTATGGGGAGTGCTGTCAAATTGTGTTGGATGTTGGTGAATTTATTTGATTTTACCTTTTTATTAATATACTATATTTATTACATTTGATACACTGGTCAAGTGAAGCTGACTGATTTTAAGTAATACAATATTCTTGTGGCAGTCTTTTTGTTCTGCATTATTCTAAAGTATGTTTCCAGGAACTTCTAGTGATATGTTGCAAGGTCAGAATGGAAGGAAAGAAGTAAAACACCATCATTCTCAAAAGTAATCTGGGTCTAAATGTCTAATACTTGAACATTATTTTAAAACAAGAATATATTTAGTGATGGAGAAAGTTTAACTTCTTTTGTGGCAGTCAACCTTAAGTGCAGTTGTGGTGAAATTGATAACTATGGAAGATAGACTTGTTGGTTTGGAACAGGCTTATCAGGCTACTTTGTCTTCGGTAAAATCATTGGACAGTGAATATTCAAATATTCAATTGTAATTAGATAAACAGGAGCAATGAGAACAACTTTCATTTAATGATATTTGTGAGTTGCATACTTTCACCTACAGTAGACTTATTAATGTCTCGAGAAAAAATAATTTGATGTTTAATAAGTGTTCCACACAAGTTAGAAATTATTGATTATAATGTTAATTTTCTATCCAAGGAATTAGATAGCTGACCAATCTAAACAAGATATAGTCAATATCTAAAGGGGGAAAATCAAGAGTTTTATTGTATTCAATTGTCATCTTGAAACACAAAATTCTTTACTTTGGAAATTCAGAATGAAGTTCCAATGATTGACAAGTGATAGAGGGGCTACATTCAGTTTGGCACTGGATTTGTCTGCCAATTCACATTTATGCCATAAGAAATTGGTTTCTTATTAAAAGATTATCATTCTACACGTAGACAAAAGTCTATTTATGTGATGATGTTTTATTTTTAGATGATAAGCATTATATCTTTTCTATCTTGCCATTCCAGTTTGTTAAGCTTCCTCCTCCTTTTTTATTTTAAACTTCTCCTATGCATCAGACTATCTGACAGGTTTCTAAAGCACACAATGTCTCTCCGAGATTCACTTGGATCTGGGTCAAGCTATTGATCTGCTTCCTTATCTTTCTGGAATTGCAATGGATTTAGTTCTAAAAGCTCAATGATTATTAGTTATATGTATAACTGCCTAGACCTGTTATGTATGGGTTTAGTTGCGACCTGGTTTGTTTCCTCTGAGAAGTTTATTGCCAGCCAATTGGAATTTTCATGTGATACTGGCAGATAAATCTATGGGCCCAGGAAAGCCTAACTGAAACTGTAAACTGATGATATTTCTTTTCTTCTTTAATGAATCTAAAGGTTATTTTGAGCTATTGGATTTTAACCCAGATATACTTGTGGTTAGTCTAACTCATTCAAATGTTTTTGCTTCTCAATCCATTTTAATACTAACTATTTACACTAGAACTTCTTAAAAATGGCAAGACATTCATGTTGACTTATTCTCTAATATCTTGGAAACTTGGTCGCCAATGTTCAATGGAATTGTCATTATGGGCAATTTTAATGTACATGTTGGTCACAAATTTGACATTTTTTTGAATATAGCATCATCATATATGTATGATTCAAAGTGAGCAAAGAACCTAAAGTTGACACTAATGTCAGACTGTTTTTACAGTGGTTAACTGAACACAACCTTATTCTTCTCAATGGATGAATCAGAAGAAATTATCCTACAGAATTGGCTTTTCTTTTAAGTATTGGTAGTTCAGTTATTGACTTTTATAGATTGTTTATCAAAGCATATGTCACTTAATAAAAACTTTGGAAGTAGAAAGTCTGTTGTTATCATATCACTTTCCTGTGACCCTGTATTTGTCTGGTAGTTCTGAATGCCTTTTGGACAGGAAGACCAGTTACTCTGGGACATATACTGCTATCAATCTGAATTAGGTTTGGACTTTCGTCGTTATCATTTTAGTAAACTTCTTAAATTTTTGTCAAATATTGTCTCAGACTCATCCTCTCTTGTGTTTGTGGCAAATTCTGTTTTAAAAGAACTTTCAATGAATAGATCCCCCAAAAATAATTGGGATATCCAATTGGGATGGCCTACCAAACTGAATCAGCTTTTCCTTAGCTTTAAATGATACATCACCAGAGACTATAAATTACTATTATAACACAATTATATTAAAATTCAATGATTCTTTTTTGTCAGAGAGGAAAACAAAAAGATAACCAATGCTAAGTTCCACTCCTGGTATACAGAAATACTTGGCAACTGTCAGGGTTTTTTGCTATTATAAACAATTGCCTTATGTAGTAAAGAAAACAACTACCCAGATACATTTAAATAAATTTCATTTAACTTGGGAAAAAATTTAATGTTAATTTTAATTCTTCAGATAGATGTCTTTATTGTATGCAGGGGAATGCTACTTTAAATCATTACATATACAATTGTGAAAAATTTGTTCTTTTTCAACCAACTGAAGATTGTAGCAATGTTTGTATTTCAACTGGGAACAGGATACATGAATTGTTTTCTAACACAGATTCTGTTGAAACAATTTGGAAAAAATATAATTTCATTGTAAATGTCATTAAGTGTATTAACCCCTCCTCCTAGAGGAAATATCCTGTAAGGAATATATAAAATAAATATTAATTTTTATATATTATTTTAACTTTAGCTTCAATGGAGGCATGTGCTACAAATTCAGAAGGCGGAATCAAAAGATCCCATCCCATGTACCATTTAAAGGTTGCACTAGCAAAATATATTATTTTATTTGTAATAGAGGATGCTTTGTAGAAACTTCCTTTCGAATCATTACTTTTATTAATAAGTCATTCAAAAAAATTTAACGTAAGAATTGCTGCAAAAGTATTTCAGAAATTTTGATATTTACATGAAAATATTTCAAAAAAATTACAATAATTTGTAATATTTACATAATTAAAATATATTTCAAAATAAAATATTTAAAAATTTTTCTTACTGGTCGTGTCAATTTTTCAAGGTCTCCAAGAATACTCAGAGCTTCATGAAGTTTACCTTCCTGTAAATAAATTTAACTTAATTATTTTTCCCATTAAAATGCAACTTAACAATTCATCAATGAATTTAATTACCTTAACAACAAATTAAAGTATTTCAATAATAAGGATATCTTCTACCTTAATTACCAGTGACAATGACATTGTCATTGTCAATGGTAATTAAAGTAATAAAACCATTTACTAAATTTTCCGGTAATAAAACCATTTACTAAATTTCAATAATAATAATAATATATATATATACATACAACACTTGATTTTACATGGTACTCGAATTGCAAGATTTCAGTTTAACACAGAAAAATATGGCAGAATTTCGCCTTGCATTAGAGAGTATCAGTTTAACACAGTACTCAAAATATTCTTCACTAATTTTATCAATGACTATATAAAAAATAATGTTCAGGCCTATTCTAACTATTATATTATTACATGCATGTTGCCACTACTGTCAATTTACATGCCCAAAGAGAGAGAATTTTCTATTTCATACTATGATTTAACACCATATACATTGAACTTGGAAATATTCACTTATGATACAAAAAGTTCTAAACAATATATATATTTTATTCAGTTCAACTTGAAAAATAATGTTTAAATCTGAAAACTGCAATGCTGCAAACACAGGAGTGAGGAGAAATGAACAATTGGTAATTGACCTCCTTAATTATACTATGGAATAATACACAGCATGGAGTACTGAACATTATTAATTACATACAAAACAGTAACATAAACACTATGCAACTCTTTGAAACAAAATGAATCATTCCTAAAAGTTGTAATCCTGCATATTATTCCTACATTACAATTTTTTTGTAAACACTCCACCCTTTATAAGGAATCATAAGAATTATCTGCACATACACCCATCAATATCTGCTTACATAATTTATGGATATCTCCTGTTTATAAAACAAAAAATAATTTAAAATTAATTGCATTGATTGGCTATGCCTGAGACAGACACTTGAGATAAAAATTTATATAATGAAACACTTAAATAAAAATCTACTTTAAAAAAATTTTAAAAATAAAACTTTAAAAAGCAAAATAGAACCATACTATAATGAAACCAGATTGCCATCATCATCAAAAATGACATCATGGAGGTCTTACACAATTGCCACAATAGGTATTCATGACTACCTTTTGACATCCATGTCACTCATTTGTTTCAGCTAAAATCAAACTGCAAAATGGAAATTACAGTCAATCTGAAACTCACAAAAACATTATGTCAGCTATGCATGACATAATAACACATGCAGTACATGCAAGTCACTATGACCTTGCAATTTAATGGCAATGATACAATATTTTAACAATATTTTCATGGCTTTATTTTCTGCTCAAAAAATACAGAAAAATAATTTTCTGGTCTCTTTTGAGAAACACTACAATCATTTATTTCCAGCTGAGACAGTAGCCCAAAGTGTAAAGGACTTCCTATGAGAGCTTGATCAAGGACACTGTTCTGTAAACAAAACATTATCTCATAAACAAAACACCCTATGATGTAGAAATTTTGTATGTGCAGAAAAGACACATTGCAGGAATTTTCAGAATCATCAAATTAAAGGAACAGCAATTATATGCAGCACAATTATACATGAAAAATCAGCAGAAAATCACTGCCTTAGTTATGCAAACCTATAAAAACTGCATTTATGATCATGGGTTAACTATGATTCTTTTGAAACAAAATTGTTGTAACTCCTTATAATCCAATGTTTTAAGTCGATGGTGCAATTTAGTTTGTCAAGTACAATGTGCCTTGCTTATTAAAAAAGTTTGAAGAACAATTTAATGAAACATGACTTTTACATTCAAAACAGTAACATAACTTTTATTAAGATAAGGATGACTTTAAAATGAAAGATTGTCACTCATTTGTTTCAGCTAAAATCAAGTTGCAAAATAGAGATTAAAGTCAATCCCAAACTCACCAAAAGATATGCATGTAAACTTGCTTTCCAGAATAAAATAAAACTTGGTGGAACTCTTACAAAACTGCTTTATTGGAGAAAACTAATATGCCAACACTCATACATTAATGCTCATATACTTTCAAACATATTTTGTTGAATAGTAAAAAAAAAGCCTTGGAAGATGCACTTACAGTGTGTCCCAAAAGTATAGATAATCAACATTTTACTACTTTTCAGAATTGTTAGGAATTTAAGAGAAATGAGAATGATTTCAATTGTATATTCAAATTACTTTATGCTGATTTTTGATAATTTTAAAATTAACTATCATTATATTAATAATTTAACAACAAAAATGTTTTTTGCTATCCCAAAAGTACAGATGATATAACATAATTGTAAAATTTCAAACACAAGAAACTTAAAATTACAAAAATAATAATATCAAGTAACACTAACTTTGTTATCAAGTAATAATTTGAATATTGAATCAAAACTTTCCAAAATGCCACATGGAAGAGAGTTTAGTATGGAAGAAATTGCAATAATATGGAAATTAAAAGCAGAAGGCTGTCATATCATGGAAACTACTGTTTTAATGAACAGATCTACTCTGGAATTTATAAAATTTTGGGAAAATCATCACCAATACCTTCTAAACATCAATCAGGAAGACCCAAAATCCATCTCAAAGGGATGATAATCGAATTGTGCACCTTGCATCACAACAGGATAAATCAGTTTGTCAAATTTTGTTTGATAGTAAATTAAAAATATCAAAAAGCACTGTTCGTCAAAGAAGTTCAGCAATTCTGCATATAAAATTTCTGCCATGATGAAAATACCGCCACTAACAAAACAACACAAATTGGCAAGAATGCAGTAGGCTAAAGATCACATAATATAGAATGACCAATGGCTCTTAACTGAAAAGAAATTTAATTTGGATAGATATTGGCATGAAATTAAGAAAGAAGAGTGCAGTTTTTCAGCAGGCAAAAGGGGTGATGATTCTGTTATGGTGTGGGGCTGCTTTGGATTTAACGGTTTATCAAATTTAGTGATTTTAACTGGTAGACAGACATCTAAAACTTATCAAGAAATCCTAAAATATAATTTAACACCTATTGGAGAAAAAATTGGAGAACCCGATTGGATTTTTCAACAGGATAATGCTAATGTTCATTGTTCACACTCAACAACTAAGTGGCCAGCAAGAATCCCAGACATAAATCTGATTGAGAACTTGTGGGTGCATTCTTGCTCAAAATATTTATGCTAATAATAGGCATTTTACAACAGTTCAAAGCTTCAACAAGAAAATCATTAAACGCTGGTTTCAAATGGATCCAGAAATCTTACAATTTAATTAAATCAATGCCTAATCACATTTTTGAAGTCATTAAACATAATGGCAGTTCTATTTTGTATTAAAACAATTTTCATCAATTTATATTATGAACTATTGCTCAAAGTTTAAATTTATCTATATTTTTGGGACATCACAAAACAAGTATTTTGTGTTTAACACTTTATATAACTGTTAAATATTGTAAAAATTACAGTGATACCCTGAACTTATGTGATAGGTGGGACCGAGCAATAACCGCGTAAGTCAAATTCGCGTAAGTCGGGGTATAATTTTCTCAATGTGTGTAAAACCCAAGTCGGATGTATGTAAGCTAATAAATGTTCTCGTTAATCTTATCTCGTCTTTTGATTCGTTTACGGTTACAAGAAATCACCACATAGAGTCTCTGGAGTCTCCATAGATATAACAAACACAGAAATAAATAACACAAAATAAATTGTAGCTATGTGTCGATTACACGCAACACGTCTGAACATGTAAGCTGAACAATAGTGTGGGGAGAGTGAGTAATCAAGAGTTGCGTGGCGCTCAAACAAAAGACGAATCGACGAGATTTGAAAATCGCGTAACTCCGGGTTCGCGTAAGTCGGGGTAGCGTATTACTGTAATTATATAACATTGTGTTATGCTATAAATAAACAATAATAACCATTTGCATTGTTAAGAAATACTTAATATTTAAAAAAAGTAAAAACACATAGATTATCTATATTTTTCAGATACACTGTATATTAAATTTGTCTGATTAAAGGTTCTAGAATTCATTTGAATTTTTGAATTGATAGAATGTATAATTATTTTCAAATTATTATAATGTAAAAGCTATTGTTTATTGCCCCTGATGAGCTTAACAAGCTCAAAAGTACTTGGACTTTAATTTATGCGAGATAAAAATGATTTTGTAAGTCTTGAATATTTTATTAAGCTTATTTAAGTAATAAAATTGACAGCTAAGCTCTTCCAACAAAAAAACTGCTTCTATATTTTCATTTTAAAACAAGCAGTGCAGAGCTTCCACCAGAAAGCATCCACATGGCAGATTCTTTTCTGAATAATGACAAATTATTTGATTGCTGCAACATGAATTCTGCTTCTGACATTAAAACTTTCAGGAGCCCAATAATATCATCAAGCAAACACACTAACACACATTAGATGAAATGTGTGTTGATGTTTCAAAATATAACAATAAAACATTTAAAATTCATTTAAATACCTAGTTTCAAATTTAGTATCATCAAACCCAATAACCAAACTGGACTAATATCACAAGATTTGTCAGCAGACACCACTAAAACACTGGATTTCAAGAAGCAGGGCAACATTACAAGTTTTTAGTACCAATCTCATAGTTTGTGGTTTGATTCCATTTCTTCACAGACAACATGAAAACTAAAAAACAATAAACAATTCACAGAATCTTTTATACTTAACAATCAAATGCCAGTTTAGCATATAAACACAATCCAACCATACACATCAGATCAATTTAATTAATCTGGTACAAGATGTTCAATAAAATATTTTTTAGTTTTTACATTCTCTAAGCACATGATTGATAGAGTATGGCATACAATAACAAAAATTAAGCTTTCTAAATGTATAAAATTATAAGACTCTTCCTATATACTTCCTGCCTAGATCATTTGATACGGTGAAATGCCCTCTTGCAGTGGAAATTTGAAAAACAGTT